GACTCTATGATATTCTAATTCGATCGTTGAACAACAATCCCTCTGTAAAAACCACTTTTGTATATATATATATATATCTTTCTCTAAGGAAATTGGAATGGAATCAAACCGTTTCCATTCGAATCTCGAAGAGAAAAGAATTATTTCCATCCATCGGATCGTTTCAGAGAGAGGTTTCGACGTGGAACAAAAGTTTCATCTTCCGCGGCTCACCGAATTTCTGAATGGGAACGAACGCTCTCGAAGTAAGAACGGCGTCGTTGACACGAATCGCCTGCCGAGTGTCATCGAGCACTCGCCAAGTTCCCTCGATAACGGAAGATCGTCTCGAAACACGGCGTGGCAAAGGAACTGGCCGATCAATTTCCGCCAAATATCGTTCCACCAATGCTACAAACTTTAATCGCGAATACTTTTGAAAATTCGAATACTCTGAAAAATTTTGTATCTCGAAAATTTTTGGCAAACAGGTTTTTTCTTTTTTCTTTTTTTTTTTTTTTTATTAAAGTCGCATTAACAGATCGCGCGTACATAGACGCGTTTTCAAAACGCGTTCGACGATGGACGAAAAAGTTTTCCGTTCGTCGAGCGGAACGATTCCCTTTTCCACGCGAATCAAACGAATTTTCGAGCAGAGAGAAAATACGCGCGATTTAATAAAATTACGATTACCGATTTACAATTTACAATCGATGGAATTCTTGTCCACCGCGAAGAAAAATTCCCTTGGTGGTAATTTTTCACCAAGAAAATGAAATACTCGAGAAAAATGTCTCGATCCCTCTTCCATTCGCAAAAAGAGAATTACTTTTACTCGAGCAAAGGAGCTCGGTCTCGCTGCGCGTGAAATGATTCTGAATTTTTCACAATACTTTTTCCTCTATGAAAACACCGATAACACCTTGCCGCCAGGATGTTTCGTCAACTGTACACAGCGAAACGGCCTTTTCGATCTGAGAGATCAAAGACGGATATTGGAATCGAGAGAAGAAAATTAACAAAAAAAGACAATACGTATTTTCCAAGCGCGAAATTAAAAATAGAGAAGAAAGAAAAAAAGGAAGCAATTTTATTCTTAGCAATTCGAGAATACTTGGAATTTGTGGTTATCGGAGAGGAGAGTTGGCAAGTTTAACTGTTAAAATTTGTTTTACGCAGCGATAAGTATATATATATATAAGACCAAGGGATCAAGTTCAATATGTACGTACTGTTCCGAACGTTGAATTCGATCCAAAAGTTATCCGGCTTGACTGAACTTATCAGGTGACTTTTCAGAACGTTCAGCGACTATATTCCGCTTACTTTTCTTTTCCTCCCCTCCATCGTTCCCTTTTTCTCGTCACGAATCTTCGACCCGCTCCTCGTATCCGATAACACGGTCGAAGCTGTTTACATCGCTCGTAACAACTGCACCCGAACAAACTCGCTCGCTCTCGCTCCCTCTCTCTTTCTCTCTCCTCTTCACCGATAAAACCACAGTCTCGTGATTTATGAACGTTGATAATAAGGCTGTGCAACATTACAGTAGCGGGCCCAGGGTCTTGGAAATTCCTCCTATATAACTAGCTGGCAAGACGTATGGACGTCGAAAATCACGCGCAAACGTAAATTGGGGAATTATCACTGGGAGGGTAACGTTCGATCTTTGTCAGCGTACATAGAGAGAGAGAGAGAGAGATTAGTGGAGGATAGTCGAGACGCTCCTCGAATCGAATTTCAGAGAAAAAGTTACGAAATTTTCGGTTTGTCGGAGAGGGGATTAAATAGAAGATGGTGTATCGATACACGCAAGGGATAATATTTTTTAAAAAGCTAGGCGAGAAGTTAAAAGTCGTTACTTTTTTTTCGTCGAAATGAAAATGAGAAGAGGGAAAATTGGAGAATTGGAGAAAACGATCTAAACGATCGCACGGTTCGAAGAAGGAGGAGGAGATGGAGATGTTGAAACAGTTTGCTGTCAAGCGGTAACTCGGTTAACTGGGTTAACTGTTTAATGGAAATAGTGGAAACGAGAAACGTTTTCTAAAGCGGGCAACTGGCGAGGTTCTGGTTGAATTACGAGTTCCTTGATCTTGAGGTTATAGGATTTGTCATGCACTTGGAACTTGATCCATCTCGACGGCGTAAAAACGTAAACGACGGATCATACGAGAGAGTCGTAAAACCGCGATCCGAAGAACTCTAAGTTTGTCAAGGCATATTACTTAGTTTTACGATCTTTAATTCTCATAACTGTATCGAATCGTTGTTTTTTCCCCAGGCGTTGTCGAGATTATGCGATTCGTCCCGGGTCATCGGAAGACGAGTGACCTCGAATTCCTAGAAATTACTCTCCAACAAGTTTATCGCGAGTCGCACATTTAAATCGCAAGATTTTCTGCATATTAATCATCGTAGAGAATCGCCGAATCGTAAGATCTCGTAAGATTCAACGGAGATAACGGGATCTCGATTTTCTTAAAAAGATTCGATCGGATCTCGATCGAACACCTCTAACAACAATCTCGAACGTTTTTTAAATCGTTGGAGGAATCGTAGGATTACAGATCGTGCCTCGTGTCGTGAATTATCAGTGAATCTTCCAAGAGGTCGTGGGATCGGCTATATCGGGTCACGATCAAGTCGTGGAACGTTGTCTTCTCCTAGCTCACGTGCCTGCAAACACTCCGTAACTCTCCCGGTATTTCGAGGTTTTCCCATCATCTCTGGAATCTCGACGTTGTCCACACATACAAATACACAGAGCAGACCATGACCTCTTTCATGACCTGCCCTAAATGTTAGGCAAAGTTTCTTCGAACTCTCGATGATTTTACGCGAACCCCATGGCGCCAAGGGTTGGAGAAAAACAAGTTCCACGACCCATAGATCTGAGAAATTTTCGTGGATGGTTCTTCTATGAATTCTGAAATCAAAGATTGAATAACTCGCGGATTCTTCTTCGTGAGTGATATTATGGTAAAGTTTTCGACGCTAAGAGAGCTGATAATTTTAATTTTCTTCCCAGAGGTAATTTTCTCCCTTATTTTTCTTATTCGCGCTTTTTTTGTTCCATTTCAGGCGGGTTTCTGGGCGACATCGCTCTGCCCAACATCAAATACGAGACCGAATGGAGGCAGCAAAAGCTCAACAAGAGTTTCTTGGAGGAGCTCGAGAAATATCGGGACGAGGTCCTGAAAGAGGGTCTTCAGGTCGAGGAGGAGGGTCTTACAGGTAAAAAAGAAAAAAAAAAAGTTTTCCAAACGAACGAAACTTCCATTCCTGTTCCATTCCCGTCGATCTCCCTTGCTTGGAGATCGCGTATTAGCTACGCATTACGCATCGTTTCAGAGATTCTCCAATTCAAAAATGGACACGACGCTAACGAGCCGCATCAGGAGAACGAGGAGATGGTGGCTTCTCAAGAGAAATCCGAACCAATTATGGTGGACCGGAATCAATACAGCATGGACGGCGAGCTCGAGGGTGGATTCAGTTTTAACGCGAGGAACGAGGATGCCAGGCCTGGGGTGAGGGACGAAGGCGTTGAATTCAGGTACGTCGCGCCACGAAAATTTCACGTTTTCTTTTTTCTTCCGTTTTGAGTGCCAGATTTTTTCCTTTTTTTTTTTTTTCAACGTGACTAAACCGCTGATAATTTTCTCGATTGTTTCTTTTCTTCTTCTTTTTTTTTTCTTTCTTCGAGGTGAAAGACGGAGGAATCAATCGGAATTAATCGGAGAGAAAAAAAGCGAGATATTTCAATGGATCGCTTATTGTTCGTAAATTTGTTATATTTTTCAGTAGGTTCGAATTCAATTTTTTTTTTTTGTTGACGCTTTAAATTTGCTCTAAGCGTTAAATTATGGATTATTTTTTGACGGACGATATTGCGTCCGTAATGCTCTTTGTTTTTTAAAATCGGTTCGACGTTTTGGAATAAGCGGCGCGGATAATAATAAATTTATCTGAAAAATTGTGGAGGCGATATATTTTCGCGTGTTCGATGCCAATTAAAAATATTAAGGTGACTTTTGTAACTGCGATATTAATTAAAAGCTGGCGATAAAGAACGGTATTGTATTCGCTTTACACGCTTTTCGATATATGTTTTATATATATATATAT